AGGGGCCGCTGTTATGGCGATGGCGGAGAAGTTCGACTCCTTGGAGGAGCACCTGGAGAAGTTCGTGGAGAACATTCGGCAGCTCGGCATTATCGTCAGCGATTTCCAGCCCAGCAGCCAGGCTGGTCTCAACCAGAAATTGTGAGGGCCTTGCCGCTCTGCCAACCCCTCTCCGTTGCCAGGCCAGGCCGCGGGGCCCTTGCCGCCGCCCCCCAGCCTGCTGCCTCAGGGTACCGGAGGCCCCGGCCGGCGGATCTGTCACCCTTCCGCCGTAGCGAAACGTGGGAGGAGCGGTTTCGCCGGGGTCTCCCTCGCGGGGTTTCGTGTCGCAGGCCTAGCAGCCGGTGTTAGCGTTAGCGCAGTACACCCGTCTTTCGCTAAAACCGACCGGTTTTCTTCTTACAGGAATTTCATGGTGACAGGCTTGCAGGATATCGACAAATGCCGGCAGCAGCTCCACGATATCAGCGTGCCCTTGGAAGTTTTTGAGTAAGTAACTTTGTACCTGGAAGGGAAGATGCTGTAGTGGGGGTGATTGGAGGCAGCGTGTCTTTGCAGCGTGGATATTTTCCCTGAGGACTGCTTGTTTCTTAAACTCCGTCTTCTGAATGTCTCACGAGAATGTGAGCAGGCAGAAGAAGGTAAGAAGTACATTCAGCCTGTGAGAAGGCGGAAGGGTAAGAGAAGTGATAAATTATACACCTGCTTTCGTATCTACTTTATTTTTTTTTTCCTTTTCGTCTTTGTTTAATTTATATTGACTTTACATATGTAGGCAGTAATACAGATTCTGCCGACTCTAGTGATTTATTAAGTAAGCTTTCATTTTGGTGATATACTTTTACACTAGGTTGGAATCGGGATTTAAAGTTGCAGGTGCAAATAAATTAGGCCAGTACTTAGGTGTTTAGTTTCAGTAGTGGCAATCTTCTTGTTGGCAGAGAATTAGAACATTAAAAGCGAAATCATACATGTAGAGGGAGAGCTATACAAGACAGCTTTTATGATATAGCTGACAATTTACTAGTATTTCTTGTAAGTCCAAATGTCACTGGTTTGCTATATTCTAGTGTATTACTGGCTATACAGAACTTTTTTCAGTTGGGCTTTCACTCTATCTATAAATCTATAGTGACGTTCTTAAATGTTCTGTTTCCTTTATTCAGTGATATAATTTCCCTTTGTCAGGCACTCATATTGCAAAGGAAAACTACACTTACAGGTTTGCCTATATAAGTGTGTTAATTTTTACTCCTTTACTAGGGTATGTACACTTCTTCCTCATCCTTGAACTGCTGGGTGCTGTATTCCTATGTGCTTACTGCTCACCACGTACTAAGCTACTTTATGGTTAGTGCCCTCAGTTGCTTGGAGAAGGACCATCTTTCTTCATTCACATGTACTTCCTGCCTGTGGGGAGCTGGGTAGTTATATTTTTTCTTTGCCTTATACTACTTTTTACAAAGCTCCAGGCTTTTTGGAAACAAAGATTTAAAACAGCATACCAAGACGGCTGTTTGCTGGCCATGGCCTAGTCCTCCTTGAACCGTCTTTTGAAAATGGACGAGTTAAAATGTGTTTTTTTTTTTTTTAAATGCACATTTCAGATAATAGTAGTAACAAGAAGACTGCACGGTGAATAACTCTGTACCTTGGAGAACATCTTTGTAGGAATATGATTATTTAGGTAGTATCTCTTCTATTTTCAGATACATAGATCAAGGTCGCAATCCTCAGCTTTACACTAAAGAGTGTCTAGAGCGAGCTTTGGCTAAAAATGAGCAAGTAAAAGGAAAAATTGACACAATGAAGGTAAAGCAGAAATAATGAAAGTACTAATGTTATAATGTACTTGATAAGTTTTTGTTTTTCTGTATGTGGGGATTTTTCTCTTGTGCAGTTATTAAATTACCTTGTTGGGTGATTTGTATTAGGAAATTGCTCTGCATCCCTGTATCTTAATCAATGCTAATATAGCCTTTTCTGGAAAGGAAAGTTATAATTCATCCCACAGTTGGGAGATGCAGATGTCGCTATGATTTTTATTTTGGTTAAAGTTGTATGTAGCATTACGGATCTCTCTTCCCCCCCCCCCCCCTGTCGCGTTTTTTTTTTTTTTTTTTTTTTTTTTTCCGCCCCTCTTGCCCTGTTTTCGTTTTGAATACTAGTGAGTACCTCATACTGTTACAGATCGGCAATTGTGATGTGTGTAAATTTAGAAATAAGCAAAACAGAAGGGGTGTTCTTCCAGTCTTGAATGGATCTTAGAGTATCAAAATGTCAAACATGCTATATAACCATGAGTTAATCTTTATAAAATTAGTTAAAATATATGCCAGTGTTTAGGGTTTTCTGAACTTGTACTTTCATCTAGTATGAACCTAAGCATTCTGCTGTGCTGTTTAACTGCTGGAATTACTGTGGGAAAATACAATCAGAAAAGGAAGTTTAATGAGATTTGAGAAAGGGCTGTTTGTGTTTCGGAACGTTCTTTGTCTGAATTTAAAATTAGTGTGGAGGATGGCAACTTGTGCTGCAGAATGTAGATATATCTCCATATGTTCTAAGCTTCTCTTTCTTTTGATATGCTCTGTGCTTGTAAAAGTTGTAGGAAGAAGTATGTATTTCTAAGCCAGGTGCGAGTTCCTTTTTGGAGGTGGGGGGGATTCCATATCAAATCAAGAGGACATATCCTTTATTGGCTTTGCTTAATAAGGTCAGACAGATACTAATGCAGCAGAGTTTGCCAGAGAAGTCCAACTACTTTGTATTTCCTGGGTGAAAATGCTAGTTAATTTATGGGAAATTAAAAGCATTTTAGTTTGCCTGGTGCTATCCTAGCAGATTTCGCTTAAGCATTTTCTGTGAGTTTTGTAAACATAACTTTCTATTTGTGTGTGTAGTTTTGAGGGTTTTTTTGGGTACCATTCTCTTCAGTCACTGAAATGTAGAACTGTGTTGTTTATGAATATTTCTGTTCATCAGATAACATTGCTTTATAAAATCTAAATAAATTGTGCAGATGATGTATATACTTTTTTCCTCTTTCCAGAAATTTAAAAGTCTGTTAATTCAAGAACTGACAAAGGTGTTCCCAGAAGACATGGCAAAGTACAAAGCTATTCGAGGAGAAGATCCTCCTTCTTAAGTTGGCCTTTGATAGCTCTAAAAATGTCAATTCCATAAACTGACAATGCTCTATAAAAACATTGATTGGAGGGAGGGGAAATCCAAGCTGTCATAACAACTGTACTAAAAAAGGCAGTGATGGACTGTACTGGAGCTTGATCATTGCTGATGTTCTGGTCTGAAGCTTCTGAATCCTTCTGAAGACTTTTGCTCAAAGATTGCAGTTGAAACTTCCTATGGTAATCTACTCTTCTTTCCTGGAAGGTTTTGGAGGTATAATTACTTACAGATCATTGATATGGAGGATTTCCCATAAAGTACATTTCCAGAGCAGAAAATCATGGGTTTTGCTGTCTGAAAAGTGTGTTCCAGGATTGTGGGCTCATCTGTTTTTAAGAGAAATGTATTTATTATACTTGATTGTTTTTCATTTGTAAACTGCCTTTTTTTTTTTTTTATTACAGTACAAACAGTTGACTGCTTTCATCTTGCCAGATTGTACTGAACAGGAGCCTGTCAAGGGCTGCAGTTCTCATGTGTCATAATGAATTGCAGCCAAGAAAACCTTCAGATATTCTTGTTTTGTTCTATGAGCTGCAGTGCAGATGGCTGAGGCTATGGAAAGTCTCCCCCATGTTCTGGGACTAGCTCCTCAACAATGTTAATATTTTGTATAGTATTTAATGTAAGCTTTTGTTTAATTCTATTCATTTTCTGTAAGCAGGTTATTGAATAAAAATCTGAACAAAAAAAAATCCTAATGTTTTTCTGTTGTATGCTACTCTTTGGAGAACGAATGGAAAGCTGTGGGGAAAATACAGGTTATTCCTCAGTCTCACAGTGATAGAAATAAAATGCATCTATCTCAAAACTTGGCTGTTAAAGGTTTATATCTGAAGATAATGTCAACTTGGTATTTTGGTTTGGTGAGGAAAACTTCCCTTTTAGGACCTGAAGCCGGAGATTTTGGGGGATCAAATCTTGTAACTGTTCATCTGTAAGGTAGTCCCATCATAAAACAGCACATTGGGTTCACTACCCAGGGGCGTCGTGTGGGTGCAGAAGACTCGTGTTACAGTGGAAGCAAGAGGACCTCTTAATCTTGGGGATTAGTGAAATCTGAACCAGATTTGTGCTTATGTTTATCCTTCCAGATGTAACTTGGACTTTTTCTGCACCAGCAAAAGAATATATTATTTGGTTAACTTTCTTTTTGTTGCTAAAATTAGTGATTTTGGGGCAGGAGCTCCAAAGCAGCACTCTACGCGTGTGTTCTATAGCAGACCTACCTAGTCCCCCTAGACCCTAATGGGGGTTTAGGTACAGTCAAGTTGGTGCCATCGGAAGTACTACCTGTGCCCCCCCTACCTAGCGGAGGCAAAGCCCGTCCATAACGCCAACCAACCTTTATGCCTGACCAAGCTTTGGCAAAACAAAAGGAAAAAGCAAGCAAGCAAGCTAGGTGTTCCTCTGCATGCGTTATTTAAGACTTGTTACCTGGCAGTCTAAATTAATCTAATTGCTGCCTGGTATTATCCTGCCCTGCCCTTCTCTGCACACTTGCTCGTCTTTGTATTTGCTCCGCCGCTAATCCACTCTTCTCCCTTCAGAATGCTAACGGTACTAACTTGGCAGAAAATGGCAATAAAGGAGAAGCGCCCCATGTTTGCCTTTCGCTCTGCTCGGATTGCCAGGTCCCCAGGAGCTGTGGCAGCAAGGCTTGTGACCGGCAAGTGCGATGTGCGCGGGGCACAAGCAAAGAAGGTCAGAGTATGTTTCACGTATGTATAATGTGCTGGGCAGCAGAGCTTGAGAGCAAAAAAGTTGGCAGCAGGCAGGTGAAACTATGTTTAAAGAGTAGTTGAGAGAGAACACTTACGGGATGAGAGGCTGGTAGATACTGGTCTGCATATTGGAGTATTCTGGCTCCTAGTGCTGACACCAGCGTGTGTGTGAGACTTGGTGGAGTAGCACACTTAAAAACTGGTGCTTCTGGGAAGTCTTATTTTTATTCCAAAATATTTTACCTTGGTTGTGCAAATTTTCTTAGAAATTAATATTAAAAAAAAAGTCATCTAGATATATTGTCCTTTATATTGGAATTTTTGTATCTGTAAACTTTACAGGGTGAGTCTCCTAATGCTTTAGAGCATCCTTGGTAGCTTGAAATTTTGTAGCACCAACTTAGGAAAAAAAATGAAAGCGCTCTAGAAATCAAATGAAATTTGAGTGATGGTTATAATTTTTGGTTTAAACACCATATTCTAAAATGTAGTCCTCATTTTCAAATTTGTTTTTACACATATGGTTACTTTGAATGTCAGGCCTAGTGTATTAATTCATAACAGTATCACACAGTGTTCGGCTGGTACTGTGAAAATACGGTCACAGCATGTGCATTCTAGATGTTCTGTGGAGCTTAGCATCACTTACATCTCCTGCAGTTTATATGCTGACCAGCTCTGTCGATCAGCTCAGAGCTAATGAGCTTAATATGGTATGGCATGGCTTTTTTGTAATGTGTTCTTTCCATATCTATATTCCCTGCTATATACTCTGTAGAAACTAATAATGGATCAGTAAAGCTTATGATGTATGGATTTACTCCTACCGCTGATTAGGGAAGGAAGGCGTGAGGAGGAGAGGGACGCTCTTATAGCTTTGTTGGAGAGAGGATTTGTTCTTTGGCTATGAAAACACTGAACAGAAGTAAAATTTAACTTTCTGGATATCAAATATTGTTGTCCTGAACATTTCCTTTCCTTAGCAGAAAAACCCCCCAAGTTATGTGTGCTATTTCAACGCGCCTCAGCTGCCCTCTGCCTGCTATGCAGCCGGATCATTTCTCCACAACCCTCCAACTTTCCACCTCTTAATTAGCACTGGCAGGGCAGGATGAGACATTTTTGGCATGGGATGGTGAGAGAGAAACTCTGTTCATAGAATCTGTGAATTTTCTATGCTTTGGTGGGCTTAGTGCAGGAAGCCCTTGAAATTAGTTGGGTTGTCCAGTGACCATCCTTTCTGTCTCAGCTACGGCCTTCCCATCACTCCCCAGGAATACCAGCGTGCTTTTGCATGAAGCAGTCTCCGCCACTTTGTGGAAAGGGCTGTTCATTCTGCTGCCCTTAAAACCCCATTGCCCTTCTAGAATCACTGCACCAAGGACTCGGACTTCAATTGATGCATTTGATTTTTTTGTGAAATGTCGTTCAATTTTGGCCACGTTCTGCTGATATTGGCACTGCGTTGTGGATTTGATTGTGCCAGCTGCATAACAGCCCAGCAAGGCCTCGTGCGTTGTCTCTTCTTGCTGCTGTTAATGCTGTTACTGCAACCTTATTAAGGTAGATGAGTAAGCTGATTTTTGCAGAATGAACAGTGGCAGAGGATTCTAATGAATAATAATTCTCACGCTTCCAAAACCAGAATCACAGTACTAGGGTCTATTTCAGAAAAATACAATAGGATTTTTATTTTTAAATTTTATTCTATTGTTATCCTAATTAACAAAGATTATTCTATCCTGGATTCCAGTATTTAATGATTAATCGACAGTATAAAGCATAATATTTTCTCAGGCTGTGCGTTTCCTTCTGCATCTTGCTTTTCCCCTCCAAGCCATATGAATTGCTACCCAGTCATATTTGGTGGGCATTAACAAAGAATATTTTGCCAAAACAATATAAAATACTCTTTTCTTTCCACATTTTGTGATGAATGAGTGGACCTTTTTAAAAAATTACTTTCTCCCTTTTGGCCAGTGCATCTTTTTTAACCTCTTTTAGCCATAGAAGTGTATCTGCTTCTGGCTCCTCCATGGGTTATGAGACCTACCTCCACAAACTCCTCTTTGGTGAGCGAGGGAGATGATGGAGCAAAATGTAGCTTGGCTCCCGCAAGCACGTGGGTGCGCTCTCTGCAGCGCACACCCGTGCCTCTCCAGAATGACTCCCATGTCTGACAGGCTGGCTCTGGGGCAGGTGAGCCCTGGCCGCCTCCTCTTTGACGGCCTCGGTCAGCCCTAACCTTTGGTGGAGAATAAGGGCTTGTTTTTCCCATGCAGTTTCTGCAACCGGGTTTATAAACCGAGCTGTGCCTGTCAGCAGCCAGGACATGGCTGAGCAAGCGTGGCCCCCCCCAAAACAGCTCTTAAGCAATGACTAAAGTCATCGGGGTGCTGGAGCAGGGTTCTGCTCCAAACAGGGCGTTTCACCGTCCAAACATCCAAACAGGGCGTTTCACCGTCAGGGGCTGCATAACTGCTGAACAGCTAATGCTTGCCAGGCAAGCCCCCGAGCAGGCAGCGAAGGTTGGCTGCACCTGGCTGATAAATCACCATTTCCTTGCCTGGTCCCCTCAGCGGTGTGGGGAGCTGGGGAGCCAGCAGCACTCTGGGGGCATGTTGCGGTTTAGCCCCAGCCGGCAGCTAAGCCCCCCGCAGCCGCTGGCTCCCTCCC